AGGACGTCGACGACTTGGAAACCAGATTGCGATATGTAATTTGGAATATCGAAGAGGAAGTAATGGAGAACGTCCAATTAAATTTATTTAAACGCATGAGAGCTTGCATAAGGATGGATGGTGGTCATTTTGAGCACCTATTATAAATTAATCCGCTCTTTTCAGAGCGACCAAAGTCAACCCGCTCTTTTCAGAGCGACCAAAGTCAATCCGCTCTTTTCAGAGCGACCAATACATTTATACATGGAACATCTTGTTCGCAAAACATAATCATTTTTCTCACGTCTCGCTTAAAACGAAAGAGCAAAACGGGCGGATAATGTTAAGTCATTAAAAAAAATGTATTATAACGTATTATAATACGTTACAATATGCCTTTTTTAATAACATAATTATTATACGTTTTAATACATGTCTCGCATCAATCACACGTTCGGCAACGCCGCGTGATTGTTATCGTCTAGACGTGTCGCGAAGCGTCGCGACGCGTCGCGTCGTCCGTCGCCGCAGTCTGTTGTCGTGTCCTTGCCGTGTAAACTATTGTCGTCCGCATCGAGTAACGTGTGCCTTTTTACAAGTAATTTTTAATAATTAATCGGTACACTGAGAGAATTTTCTCTTAGAATTTACCCTAAAAGTTATGGTAATCGTGAGACAATACGGTATGAAAAGAATTTTATTAAAATTTTCCTGATTAATATTTATCACATTAAAAATAATATCTATCACAATAAAATATGAAATATGTGTGATTAATTTTACTAAACTGTATAGTAAAATTAATCAAACATATTTTATATTTTATTGTGATACATATTATTATTTTTAATATGATAAATAGTAGAGAAATTCTAATAAAATTCTTTCTACATCATAATGTCCTACGATTACCATAATTTTCTAGGTAAATTCTAAGAGAAAATTCTCTTAGATTGTGATTATGATTGTCGTGTCCTTGCCGTGTAAACTATTGCCGTCCGCATCGAGTAACGTGTGCTGTGCGCGCCGCGCGTTTTTACAAGTAATTTTTAATAATTAATCAAAACACTGAGAGAATTTTTTCTTAGAATTTACCCTAAAAGTTATGGTAATTGTAAGAGAATATGATATGGAAAGAATTTTATTAGAATTTCTCTGATTAATAATTATCACATTCAAAATAATAATATTTATCACAATAAAATATAAAATATATTTCATTAATTTTACTTTACGGTTTAGTAAAATTAATGAAACATGTTTCATATTTTATTGTGATAGATATTATTATTTTGAATGTGATAAATATTAATTAGAGGAATTCTAATAAAATTTTTTCCATACAATATTGTCCTACGATTACCACAATTTTCAGGGCAAATTCTAAGAGAAAATTCTCTCAGATTGTGATTATGTGTTGTAATTTGTAATCAGTTATTTATTACAATAATTTTTAATCAAGTGCGTGAGTCAAAGTGTCAATAGAATTTATTACAAAAAAATGATTTCATTATGCAGTGTGTCACAGTGTGTCAATATCGGATTGTATCCAGTCAGGCAACAATTATTCGTCAAAGGACATGAAACATCTCTACAAGGTAAGAATCAGTGAGAGACAGAGAGAGAGAGAGAGAGAGAGAGAGTGTGTGTGTGTGTGTGTATACGCGTACACACACACGCACACACACACACACACACACAAAACGCCGCGTGTAACAAACAGCTGATCGCTTCGAGCGCCCACGTAATCGCCCGCGTCGGATAATGTGTTGCGCCGCTCCTAATTACCGCCCGTACTCGTGCTGTAATTCGCTATTTCTTTTTATATTTCGAAAACTACGCTTCGGATAAAATTTTGGCAAAGGAAAAATCGTCTTAGAATTGAGTCAGGAATACGACATTTTAAGGACAAACGGTTGTTTTGAATCACCCTGTATACATAACAGTAAACTGTATGAAAATTATTTCATTGTCCAACTCTTTCTCTGAATCATATCTTAGCTACTCGATCCACCTCGATATGAACCAAAAAAAGACAAAGCCAATGAAAATTGTAAAAAAGCAATAAAACAATTATAATAATTATAATAGGCTTATAAATCACGAATAACGATTATATAATATATTATGAAAACAACGCTGTGCAAAAACGAAAAATCAAATTTTAAAAATTATAAATGTAAAATGTTTAGAAGTTTTCTATTTTTTCGAGTATTTCTTTTACACGACTTATTATGCTGCGATAATGTATAATAAATGCGCATGCGGAGAAATAATTTTATCAAGAACACTTTAGGGAAATCTGGACATGGCACTTCAAAAGTTATATTTTGTGCTAACTCGAATAGAACCGATATTTTTTTCAAAACAATGAAGTTCAAAATTTTTAATAAATATTTCTTCTAATCTCTGAATATAATAATAAAAATCATTAGTTGGTATATTTAATTTACCAAATAAACCGTTTTCGTTTTCATAAGCTCGAAGGGAACAATATAGCGTTGTATCATCTAGGACAGCATTATTTTCATTTACAAAATTTTTACATATATTACATGGATGTATTGCTATACATTTTTTAATTAAAAATCCGCAAACAAATTTCAATGCATTTTCCTCTGGCAGATCCATTGAGTAATAATAATGTACAGAAATATTTAAAATGTTATGCGATGGAATAAATTCTGAAACTGTGGCTTCTGTAATATTTGATGTTCCAATAATATTTAATAAATTATCATTATCATTTGCACAATTTTGTGAGTCTGAATGCTTTAATAATTTAGCACTGAATAATTTTTTAAAAGCACGTTTAAACTGAATAGGTGTCGGATTAAGGCAATTACCACCTTGTTGTCGAATAGTGCAAAAAAAATTTTCAAGACAATCTTGATTCAGTCTGCGTGTTTGAAGATATGGAAAATTATAGTTATTTTTTAAAGTATTCCAAAGTTGAATTGTACTCTTAATTGTGATCTGCCAGCAATCAAAGCATTTTACTTTTACATATTTACATTTATCATTATCCTTAATTACTTTAATACATTGTATAAAATTCAATATTTCCCATACGGCACAGAAATATTGCTGCAATGTTGCTGCAATATTTATTTGCAAAATTGCAACATTGCAGCAATGTTGCAAAATGTTGCAGCAACATTGCAGCAATATTGCAGCAACGGTAAAATGTCCGCTTGTAGCAATATTACAATACAATACTGCAGCAATATTACAATACAATACTGCAGCAATATTACAATGCAATAGTGCAACAATATTGCAATATAATATATGTATATATATATGTATAATATTATAATGCTTTGTATTGACGTAAGATCGCGTTGACTGAACTTGCTGCACTAGTTCAGAAGTTATCTTTTTCCTTCCAACAATGTCGAGCAAAAAAGACAACTTCTGAACTAATGCAGCGAGTTCAGTCAACGCGAACAGATCTATAAGTAGTATTTTTACATTTTAATTAAATCTGAGATATATATATCTCATAGATTGTTAGAATGTGCGTGTTTGTAAATATATATTACATGCAGTATAAAAGAGAATATTTCAGAATTTAATATTTATGTATATATATGAGTTACATAAAATAAAATATACGCAACATTTAAATTTATTCTTATTATATATTGCAATAAAAAAACCAAATTATATAAAAATTTTATATACGAAGTATGTTAATATATAACACGTTATATATTCATATATAATAATCTGCGTATATAATATACACGTATATGTACACGTGCACAACATATGATATATAATAATTTTTTATAAACCTAATAAAAACTAAAAATTTACTTAAATTGCATTAAAGTATCTTAATCATGTAAGAACAAAAAATACATATTATTTTTACTATTTATAATATTATAACAGTATATTTTTAATATTGCTGTAACATTATTACCACATTATTATAGCAATGTTCTATATTCATATTTCAGCAATGTTGCTGAAATATTGCATTGCAATATTGCTGCAATATTACATTGCAATATTGCTGCAATATTACATTGCAATATGCAAGATTGCAATATTGCTGCAATATTGCTGCAAGGTCCTGTGCCGTATGGGTTGTTCTAAAAATTGCATTTGTTTGTTACTTCCAATAAAAATTTTTCCATATTTTTTAGGGTTATTTACATTAAATGAATTTAATATATCAAATAATTTATCAAATTTATCAATTAACTCTATAGTTCCAACTGCTTCAGTTGGAAGAAAACCATAAGACATCTGCGTACACATGCCTGCAGTTACACGATTACTAAATACTTGCGCAGCATATTTCACTTTCATCCTTGCAAAATTACTCGGGTTAATGTGAGATTGTGTTAATTTAGGAGCTGTTTTTATCCACTGTTTGCTGTCTTTATTATAAAATTCTACGATATGAGCCCACGAAGCTATTTTATTATTTATTTGAAAACTGTGATTTAACAAATTGTTTTGCGTTGCTTTTAATAAATGTGGAGTGTCAAACATATAAAGCATGCTTTCTCCATCAACCACAAAACTTGTATTATCCACCGAAATATTTAATATCTGGGACAGTTGAATAAAATTAGAACCCATATCAGAAATAAACGCATGCACAAAAGCACCAATATTTTTTAATTTGATTATAATTTCGAAAATTAGTTGTTTTAAAAATGTTGCAGAACATGCAGTTTCTACAAAACAATAGCAAACAAGCACTTTCCAGTCTCCTGCAATGCTACGTGCCATTATAACTAAAGCACTTTTTGCGGGTATGGATGTTCTTCTATTACCAAAATTTTCAAAACCAATTATCTCATCCCGCGATACATTATAAAATAAATGACTCTTTAAGCTTATTTCATCTGCGCATATTATGCAATGACGCTCTATTAAAGGTAAGGTATTTAATTTCATTTTAAGTGCTTCAAAAATTTTGTCATTTATACCAGGCATGATTTTCCATGTTTCTGTAAATAATTGTAGACAACGTACTGAAGGCAATTCAATTGTTTTCTTCAGTTCTTTATAATTTCTTGGACTTAAAAAATATAAAGATAAAGCAAATTTTTTAAATTCAGATTCGTATCTTCTGCCACGTTTGCTTTTGCTTTGTGCATCAATTTGTGCCATTAATATTTTATTAAAATTATGTGGTAATAGCTTACGGCCTAATTTCTTCAGCATTTCTCGTTCGTCGACTTCTTCTTTGCCTTGTATATAATTTTTTAATTTCTTTTCCCTCAAACAAAGTCGCCGGACTTTTTCTCTGAGGGCTTTATTTTGCACCTTATATTGTGCGAGCTTCATTCGTAACTTCTTTTTTCTTGGGCTATCCTCCGACGATTTGGTAGCCGCTTCTTTGGATGTACTCCTGTAACAAGTACAAATTCATTAGGTATTTATTATAGATATAAGAAAAAAGACTTGTTATTGAATGTATGCAACTATACGACAATAATTTGCTAACAAGACAAGCAAATAGCTAAAGTTACAATAACATAAAAATATATTTATTGTAATACATTATAAGGTATAATAAATTAAAACTTACGGTTTAACTATCTCAGCATCCACATTATTAGCTACAATTGGCAATGGTTCTTCACATTCCATATTGCTGAAAATATCATTTTTTTAGACATTATTCTTATTAAAAATAAAAAATATTGTTTATTACCTGTCTTTTTCTTTTGATATGATATCGTAACATTACAAAACAAATATTATAAATAACACGATTATAACGTAAAATAAACTATTAGATTATTAATACACTAAATATAATACATTAAACAATCATGGACAAATGAGCTGGGTATTGGTAGCAAAAAACAATGTATATTTTGAAAAGTATCCAAATGTTTCGACTTACATTAAGCCATCTTTAGTAGATCATTACAATTTAAATATTTAAAATATAATCACAAGTTTTAATACATATTTACGCAGATTTTCTAATATTCGTCATACATCGTTATTAATATGGAAAAATAAAAACATATTTACGCACATTTTTTAATTTTTGTCATAAATCGCACAAGTAGTCCTTTGGAAAAATTTACAGAAGTATAATGCGCTTCGTACTGTCTTTGATATATACATGTCGTCGTTGTATTATACTCAAGTCACAGTTAAGCAGATAAGAGTTAATATTGACTGGATTTTCACTCTTATCTTCTTGACTGTGACTTGGGTTTAATACGACAACGTGTATATATCAGAGACTGTACAAAGCGCATTATACTTCTATCAGAAAATATGCGTAAATATGTTTTAAAAGTTATGATTATATTTTAAATATTTAAATTGTAATGATCTACTGAATATAACTTAATGTAAGCCAAAACATTTGGATCCTTTTAGAAATATACGTTGTTCTTTGCTACCAATACCCAGCTCTTGTCCCTAATTGTTTAATATGTTAATATTTATTTTATTGAATATATATCGTTGCTTTAATTTAAATATAATTTAAGTTAAATAAAATAGTTAATTATATAACTTACCCATTTGTTTCTTCTCCATTTGTCATCTCGCCTTCCATTTCATTCGCGTACTCGTCTTTCTCCTCTGATGACTTATTTGTTTCTCCATCTATGTTTCTGCAAGAAAAATATAATTAATATAATATGATACCGTTACATTTTAAAATAAATATCAGAAATAATTTAATAAAAAATATTATAAATTTATAAAATATCATTATAAAATAAACTACCAGATTAATACATAATACACAAATAAAATAGTTAAATACAAAATTTTTAAATATAACACTCATTTGTTTCTTTTCCATTTTCTGTTTTGTCTTCTTTTTCAATTGTGGTATCTCAGAAAATAGATCGCATTCAATTATTTTTTGATTTTTAAAATTATTCGTAATAATAATAAAAAAGAAAATAAATATATTTGTTTTCCTTTAATGTCATCATTGTTATTAAAATGAGTATGTAAAGCCAGCTAGACTATGCATTGACTAAGAAAGACTAATAAATTAAATTATAGATAGAAACTCACTTTTGACAATCTGGCCCAAAAAATATCGTTGGTATGGCATCTGGATGAAGACGAGCTCTTATTTTATTTATGTTGTACCACTTCTTCTCAAAATGTAAATGGCACAATTTACAATTACGGTTGGCATATTCTGGGCCTTTTGGTTCCAAGTCCAGCCTTCCACATGCTTGAATCCATTGCAACCACCTGCAAATTACATATGAATTACAAATATTTTATCAATAAAAATTTGAAAATGAAAATATGATTTAGGAAATAAATAATGAAAACATTACCTGTCATGTTCCTTAGGAAATTTAAAAAAATACCGGTCTTCTAAATCATCTTCAAATCTTCTTGTGCATTCTGGTACTGCACACCATGCGTATTGTTTCTTAGCCATTTTCTAATTTTATTCTTCAAATTTTTTGAAGTTGCACAGCAACACCTAAAACAGAGCTAAGATCAAAGTGCTCTTCGAAGAGAAAATAGAAAACTTATATAAAATTTATATTAGTTAACTATTTTCTCAAAAAGAAATCTTTCTCGCTCGGTTTTTCCGAAAAATTCACTTTTCCACTTATTCACTTTCACTTTTCACTTTGTCACAAGAATTTCTGCTCTGAATATACACTGGTCTAACCCGTATATACTCTAAAAACAAACGTTTAAAGGGAACATTGCAACGGTCATTTAAATAGAAAGAGAGCAACAAACAGAGAAAGTGAGAAAGAAGATCACGTGATAGTACAGGCCAATCAGGGCCACCTTATCTATTTCGCGCATGCGCACTCCGTTTTGGACCTCATAAAATCAGGAGAGTTGCGCTACTGTATATACTGTGTCTCGACTGACTCACATCGAAGAGATCATGTCTGCACCAACGTTTGTCGACCTGCAAGGATTTATCCTAAATAAACGATTTATTGTGAAGGAAGCGGCAATCCTGAGAAGAGGATATATCTTGTCGCACTATTTCTTTGCATGCCCTGTGCCATGGAGCGTGCTTATAAAGTCGGAAAGGCGCCAGGCCTCGTGGTTAACTCAGCATCATCACAGCTTACAATGGGAGGATGGAAATGTTCCATACTGCATAGCTCAGCGCTTGATTATGGCAGCTATCGTTGGCATAAATAAACAAAAAGAGGAGGAAGAAGAGTCTTCTCTCGTGTATGTAAAAGGACTCAAAAAGCGAGAATGGCTGGCCGAAATAATGGACAATGCGAGCAGCGGTTTCATCATTGAGACCTTGGATGCAATATATGAAAATGTGCCTGTATTAAATAAGTTAGATTTTACATATACTCTACGGTGTAATAAACATGTAAAAAATTGCGCGTTACAAAATGTATTTAAATTATTTAATTGGTGGTCGGCCAATCGCGATAATCATCCGTTTTTTTTTTAATAAACATATTTACACACTATTCTCTTTGTTATTTCTCTCCCTCCCTCACCAGATATTTCTAAGAATTTGTTTTACCCCCACTACTTTTAAAAATTTCTCACACAATCGTATTTCTAAGAATTTGATTTACCCTTTTTCCTACTATTTTTAAATATTTTTCTTTGTTCTTCCCTTCCAGATATATTTCTAAGAATTTTTTTTACCTCCACTACTTTTGAAAATTTCTCACGCAATCATATTTCTAAGAATTCGATTTTACCCCTTTTCCTAATATTTTAAAAATGAGCGTTACTCGATTATTAATACTTTTTTATACGATCAGTCTCTCGTCGACTGTTCTAACTGACGATTCACTTTTTAATACCCTTGGTTCAAAGAAGCAGCATGAATTACTACATGCCGAGACGTGATGAAACGTGCGAGAAGAAATGCGACGAGTAAGTATAACTTTTTTTGTATTTATACTTTTATCTTTTTATTTTTTTATTTTTTACAAGTTATAATTTTTTATCTAATTTTTACAGCGTTTCGCTGGAGCCTCGTGCGGTTCGTATACTAGGAAGATAATACGCATTGACGGCCACAGAATTTAAATTCCTCGAAATCGGCATCAGAATGGATCCGCCGAGTTACGTGGAGATCGCCATAGGAGATCATCGGGGAAAACAGCTAATACTATCTCTCGAAACGTGGAAAGGACTCTACGAGCAAATAACTCCCCCAACAACGATGTGTATAATTTCATAAGTGTCGGGCCGCTAACAGTGCGATTTCACAAGATAAACGACACCAAGCTCATAAGTCTCGAATCAGCGGATGTGCGCATGATGATGGTCGAATCGACGTTACGTCGTATGTTCGAGCTCGATTCATGCATCGAAATAATGTTTGATCGATTGACGAGGCTCATTGCAACGGTCGATATCAAGTATACACAATTCTCCAATATTGCATCCACTGTAACGGATTTGCCGAATGCGATACGCGCTAGCGACGCCTTCAACAAGCACCAACTTGTCGATTGCGAGCTAGTAGTTTTAGTTTTTAATATGTAATAAAACTTTATATATAATTATGTATTAAATATAAGACGAATAAATACTTATATGTATATATCATGGTGTACTTTATTTGCGCGCCACCCGTTACATAATTTGCGAGAGATAATTATCGTGTCAAGGATATTGTCGCAGAAAAAAAAAATCGACATTTTTTATCTTACGAGGTTGACGCGGCGAGAGAAAATCGATAATTTTATCTTACGAGGTGCACGCGACCGTCTCATTAAGAGAGAAAGAAGACGGGCTGCAGCGCGAAAAAGAGAGAAGACGCACGCATTCGAGAGTGAGAGAGAGGGAAGTAGCGGCGAGAGAGAAGACGCACGCATTCGAGAGTGAGAGAGAGGGGGATCCAAGCCTGGATTTAGCGGCGAGAGAGAAGACGCACGCATTCGAGAGTGAGAGAGAGACGGCGAAGTAACGGCGAGAGAGATTCGGCGGCTCGGGCCTGCGGCGGCGAGAGAAGATGTGAAGGAGAGAGAGAGACAGCGAAATAAGACGCGAGCGCGAGAGAGATGTGAAGGAGAAAAAAGAGACGTGTGAGAAAGACGCATGCAATAGGGACGTTCATAGGAGAGCTTTTAAAATAATTTATAATAATTTTTAATAATTTCTTTATATATTGTCTTATAATTTAAAAGGGAACAAGAGGTAAGGAGAACATTTTAATCTAAAATAAATACACTTATTTGATAATAATATTTTTTTAATCTATAAAATATGAGTAAATTTACATTTGTGTGTGTGTGTAAAAATGTATAAAATAAAAAAATGTATAAACGATATATAAAAAATATATAAAAGTATAATATAAAAGATATATTAATTATATACAATTATATAAAATAAAATTATATACAATTATATACAATTATATAAAATTATATAAAATTATATAAAATGTATAAACAATATATAAAAATTATATAAAAGTATAAAAGATATATTAATTATATACAATTATATAAAATAAAATTATATACAATTATATACAATTATATAAAATTATATAAAATTATATAAAATGTATAAACGATATATAAAAAATATATAAAAGTATAAAAGATATAATTATATACAATTATATAAAATAAAATTATATAAAATGAATTAATGAAAGGCTCGTATAAATTAACAAAATTAAACAAATATAGTAGGCCAACTGAACGAGCAAAAAATAAGATGTAAAAATTTTTTTATTAATAGTTAAATAATTAAACTTATCATTCCGTTACAGAAACAATATAAATCGTAAACGTTTCGACTGCACTACAGTCTTTTTCAATACATAAAAGTTAAATATTATTCAATTCAATTCAATTCTTTATTCGTCCCCTAAGGGATTGAAGGCGCTTTTGAAGGAGCGTTCCCCAACCTTACAAAACTCTTACAAACATACTTATATCTACTCTTATCTCTACTCTTACATCTAATTTACAAATAACTTAATTCTACTTTAACCTACTTATCTACTACTTTAGAGAGAGAAAGAGCCGTCCCTACCTATCGCTTCGCTTCGGCTTCCGATTCCCCATATATTCTCCACCACCTCATTCATACCTCACTCCTTCTCCTCCTCATACTTCCTTCCTCCTTTTCTCCTCCCTCCCCCTTTTCTTCCGTTCTCCCCTCTTCCCTCTTTTTCTCTATTTCTCTCATCCATCCTTCCCCTTCTCCTCCTTCCTGCAATATTCCCTTCATTCTTTCCCACCAGTTTCCCTTCTCCCCTTCTCTCCCACATTCTCCTATCACATGCTCCCATGTTTCATCTTCTATCCCGCATAACCTACATCTTCTTTTCCCCTCTTCTTCCCAGTATCTCGCCCCTCTCATCTCATTGTTCATTCTGAACCTTACTATCCTTCTCCATCTACTTTCCCCCCATCCTTTTCTCAGGTATTCCGGTAAACCCTCCTCCTTTCATTCCCCATACCATCTATTATATCTCGACTCTCTTATCCTCTCTTATCTTTCCTCCTTTTGCCTTTCCCTGTCTTTCTGTTCCCATCCCTCATATACTTCCTCTCCCCTTCCCCTTTTTTCCTCCATCTCTTTCCCTTCTATTCCTCTTTCTTCCCAGAATTTCTCCCTCTCTTCCTCCCACATCGTTCTTTCCTTTCCTCCTCTTATCCTCTCTTTCATATCCTCAAAGCATTTCCTCGCTAAACTTCCTCCCTTTCCTTCCTCCAACTTCCTCTCATACCCTACCGCCCTCCTTCCTGCCCTTATCCTAAATTTGTCTTTTCCTATCTCCTCTCTTACCATATACCCCGGCGTGCACCAGTCTACTCCTAACGTCCACCTAATCCATCGCTCCTGCATTGCCTCCACCTCTCTCCTCTCCTTCCATCCCCATATTTCCGCCCCATATTCCAACACCGTCCCCACCAACCTTTCCATTAGCCATACTCTTTTCATCCAGTCTCCTGCAAACCTTCTCTTTCCCATTCCCCACACCTGTCTTATCACCGCTTCTGCTTTCCTAACTCTGTTCTTTACCTGCGCCTCCTGCCCCCCGTTCCTCTGTAGCTTATACCCTAAATATGTGAATTCTTTCACTTCCTCTAACCTTTTTCCTTTCCATCTCCACTCCACTCTCTTCATTCTTCCTCCTCCTTTTTTAAACCTCATTATCTTTGTCTTATCTACATTCACCTCTAACCTTTTCTTGTCCATATAACTTTCCATTTTCCCCAACATATGTATCATCCCTTCCTCATCCTCCGCCAACAGTACCATGTCATCTGCGTACGCCAAACAATGCACCTTTTCCCCTCCCAGTTTCACCCCCCCCCCAACCTCCTTTTCTTAGCACTTCCTCTATATCCGCTATCAACAAACTGAATAAGTGCGGACTCATTGGGCAACCTTGCCTCACCCCCCTTGCCGTCCAAAAATTTTCTCCCTCCTCCTTCCCCACTCTTACCTTACTCCTCG